ACAATAATACTTCAGCTCAGAGTGATGACTTCCACCAGGCTTGGGGTGCCAGATCCAGTCTACTTGTGGTGCCTTCCTCTCCCTGTGCGCCCGTGCTGGTGGAGATCGAGAATCTTCCAAGGGCTTCTGCAGTAGACCAACACGACAGGAAATGGTTTGTTAATCCCTTAAACCAAAATAAAGTTTTAAAAACAAACCAAAAAGTTCAATTGGGGGGTAGAGGAGGAGAAAATATTAAAATGCTTTCTGAACTTGTGTGCCTTCTAGAGTTTATTTGATTTACATGCACAGCTAAGCTTCAAAATAACCATGTCTTTCCTTCCCAAAATATACATTATTGCAGATGAGTTTAACAACACACCCTCTTTTCCAGAGGTATAAATTAAGTCTTAAAATGTATTTTGTATGCCTTTTAAGAGAAATTTAAAAGTAAACTTTTAGTTCCAACAAAAAAGTGGTGTGGCTTGTTTTGTTTTCTCTATATTTATCACCCATTACTGAGAATTCTTTCTGAATTCCAAGTTTAATTGTGGTACATTAAGAAAGTAAAGATACCATTTATAAACTATCAAGGGCTCATGAGGGAGGGGGAGCGGGGAGGGAGGGGAAAAATGAGGACCTAATGTCGGGGGTTTAAGTGGAGAGAAAATGTTTTGAGAATGATGTACAAATGCGCTTTACACAATTGATGTGTGTATGGATTGTGATAACAGTTGTATGAGCCCCTAATAAAATGTTTAATAAAAAAAAAATTATGTCAGTAAAAAAAAAAAAAGACACCAATTAATTGGGTAGGTTTGTTCCATGTGCCAGGACCTGTCTAAGTATATTCTATATTAAACATTTATTAAATGCCAGCGCGGTAAAAAAAAAAAAAAAAAAGAAAGTAAAGATAGTAGATACTTGGATTTTTTTTTAATATATGTTTTGGAAATCTTCAGTAAGCTGTGATCTGATATGGTTTTACTCATCACATGCTCCAAGAACTTTAACCATTGCTGTAGGAGAGACACCCACCCCCGTTTCTGCCAAAGAAAAATCTCTGAAGTTTTGTGATACTTGCCTCTGGGCTATTTGGCCTCAGGTCGGGTAACTTGAAAGTAGGGGTTGGAATCATGTAATGGTTTGCTCAGTGCCACATCTGACGGTTGGTCCCACGATTGACTGGGTAGGACTATGCATTTAAAGTGCTTGTGACCCATCAAGGATGTTACATAGCTTCCTTATAATGCAGACATAGGTGCATGACACCCTTGTAGGAGTAGAACCATAGCAATGGGCTTGGTCAGTTTTGCCATCCAGCTAGGCCTAAAATGTACCATTCCAGAGGTAGAAAGGAAGGAACTTGGTATCAGCAAGAAAAAAAAAAGAGCTGGGAGCAGAGTGTGTCCTTTGGATCTGGGGCCCCTGTCCTGAGAGCCTCCTAGACCCAGAAGACATGTTACACTGGAGACAGCACAAGACAGTGATAAGCAATAGTGTGTGCAGTGGAGAACCAGCAAAAGCAAAACAGGAGACAGCTTGTAGCTGAGAGCTGTCAGACAGGAGGCTTGCTGGTGGAGCAGGGTGCCTCCAGGAACTTACCAATGGAGGTTGGCTTGCTGAGGTTTACTGGTAGAGTTCTTACCTCTGAGCACTTAAGAGTAGCACTGACCAGGAACAAGGGAACAGCAAGTGATCTAATATCAATGGTGAGGAGGCCGTAGGATACCTGGTGGGGCTTGATCAAGTGCAATGTAGCCGAGAGGAATTTCTGAAACCCAAATGAAGGTCGAACATGATAGTGGGACAAGATGAAAGTAAAAGGAAATAGAGGAAAGAACCAGGAGGCAAAAGACATTTATAGAGGTCTAAATACAAGCATGTACATATGTAAATGTATTTATATATAGCAATAGGGAAATAGATCTATATACATATATTTATATGTTAAGTATTAAGGTAGCAGACAGACATTGGGCCTCTACTCAAGTACTTCCTCAATACAAGAACACTTTGTTCTAATAACCGGGCATTCTGTGATGCTCACCTTCCTCACATGATCACTTAAGACAAAATGGGTGCATAAGCAAATGTGGTGAAGAAAGCTGCTGGTGCCTGGCTATCAACAGATACAGCATCAGGGGTCTTAAAAGCTTGAAGATAAACAAGCGGCCATCTACCTGAGAAGCAGCAAAGCCCACATGGAAGAAGCACACCAGCCTGTGTGATCATAACGTATCACTGGGATCAGGTATGAGGCATCAAAGACCCAGAACAAAAAAATTTATCGATGTGAATGAGGGGGATGGTGGAGTAGAGACCCAAAGTCCATCTGTAGACAATTGGACATCCCCTCACAGAAGGGTCACAAGGAAGAGACGAGTCAGTCAGGGTGCAGTATAGCTCCAATGAAACGTACAACTTACATCTAGTTCTTTAATGCTTCCTCCCCCCACTATCATGATCTCAATTCTACCTTACAAATCCTGCTAGACCAGAGGATGTATACTGCTACAGATAAGAGCTCACAACACAGGGAATCCAGAACAGATAAACCCTTCAGGACCAAGAATAAGAGTAGTGATACCAGGAGGGTAAGGGTAAGGTGGGGGGAGAAAGGGGGAATTGATCCCAATGATTGACTACTACCCCTACCCCCAGGGGGACGAACAACAGAAAAGTGGGTGAAAAGAGACAGTGGTTGGTGTAAGACATAAAAAGCATAGTAATTTGACCTAATGTCGGGGGTTTAAGTAGAGAGAAAATGTTTTGAGAATGATGTACAAATGCACTTTACACAATTGATGTGTTTGGATTGCGATAACAGTTGTATGAGCCCCTAATAAAATGTTTAAAAAAAAAAACCATAGTAATTTATAGATCATCAAGGGTTCATGGGGACAGGATGAATAAGCTGATACCAAGGGCTCAAGTAGAAAGAACATTTTTTTGAAAATGACGCTGGCAACATGTACAAAGGTGCTTGACACAATGAATGTATGTATGGGTTGTGATAAGAGCTGTATGAGTTCCCAATAAAATGATTTTTTTAAAAAAGAGTGGCACTGAAAACTTTTGTAACACTTGCCCCAGTACAGCAGAGGTTGGGCCAGCCCAAGAGATCTGAGTGACCGAGGGCCAGAGAGAGGCCTGCTTGAGTACAGCTGAGAGGAAGCTGTCTTGATTAAAGAACTGTATCTGGAGTCATTCCTTATCCTGAATTGTAACCTGTTGTTTTCCTAGTAAACCTTATAATCATGAGTATTGTCTATAAGTTCAATATGGCCATTGCCACAAGTTATCGAAGCCAGCAGAAAAGTGGAGAGTGATGTGGGAAGGATGACTGGTGTCAGAATTAGTAAAAAAGTTGAGAATGGAGGGAGGTGTGTCTGACCTTCACCTCATAGCCACCAGTCTTGAGCTGTTGATACTGATAATGACTCTTCTCCCTCCTTTTTGTGAAGCTGGCCAATTCTCGTGCCACCCACAGCCCACTTTTACACATTTTCACCCTCTCTTGAGTTGTTCCTTACCCATGAACATCAATGCACTGCCCCCTATGATTCTGTCTAATTTTTCTTTAAAAAAATGGTCCACCTTTTTTTCCTTACTTTAAATTTTACTTATTTCATTGATGTTGTCTAATCATTGAAGCCATTCTTGTCGCTTTGATCTCAGATGGAAAGTTCTTAAAAAAACATAATGCTCAGCCAAGTGTCTTTTAAAATATTTGGCAACATTAAATAGTATTCCCCTTATGTGGAGCACATATGAAGGAAGGAAAGCAAAAACTGCCAATGATAGATTATTATGTTTTCATTGAGCGAATGTCAGCTCTGAAGGCTAACACTCATTTTGAGAGGAACGAGGGAATGTAGAGGAGAGAAAGAGGACAAAGGCCCTGAACAACAGAAGTGAGAAGCTCAGGATGGTTCAGAGGGTTTTTTCTTTTTCTTTTTGCCTTTTCCAGTTCATACATGTACGAGTCTAATCCAAACAGATCATGCCAGAACATGTCTCTACAAGCGGACAACTGCAAAGAAGCTCCCCCAGCAACACACGCATATTAGTCTTACCTTCAAAAATTGGTCCAGTGAAAACAGTGGTTTCTAGAGTGATCTGCTAGGCCAGTTAAACTCAAGGCATAGAGGCCAGCAGACCATCTTGTGATATTCTAAAGGGGTTACACTGATAGACTTTCCAAAAGGACACAGGACGATCTTGGGGGCCCATCACAAAGAAGTTCCAAGAACATGGAAACATACATCACTGAGAAAAGGCCAGGAAAACTTCTCCAAGGAATCTTCTAGCACTATGACAATGTACTTGACTGGCACACTGGTAAAGCCAATCACAACAGGCACAACCCCCTGGGCCAGAGATGTAATGGCTGCTGAGGTGATGTTGAAGTAGCCGGCAGGAGTGTGCCCATGGTGTGGGCAGTTTGGTCCCATTTGACATTGAGTATTGCAGAGACAATGCCAAAGTCTTCTAGGCAAAGAAATCATCAGATAATTCTGCATCAGTGCAGCCCAGAGCTTGAGGCAATATGAGAGAGGGTGTAAGGTCAGGTCTCCTCTACAGCATATCTGTTCAGCCTGGCTCCACTTTTTTTTTGATTGACAGAAAATAGAGCCAGTACCACAAATGCCTGCAATTTCACCCCCCAAGCCTTCCAGGAGCCACCAAGACCAGACTAGAGCCTATCCAGAAGATCTTAACCTGTTGTCCTCTGATGGGGTTGAGGGCTGAGTCCCTCCCCATTTATGCACTTTTGATTGTGTGCACGCACATCTTCTAGGTGGGGACCTGCCCCCAGTGGAGACTTGATCCACGGTCAGACATTGAGCTCTAGAGAGTAGGGTGGATTGCTTCACTTGGACTTGGCAGATCACAGATCTGTTGGGAAAGAGGAAGGTGATGTGGTTGTGGATGTGGTTTACTTTGCTTTGAACTTCACTTACATGGAAAAGCTATGAGTTAATGTATTAACTGTGATGTGTTTTTTTTTCTTTTAGCACAAGGATTCCATTGTTCCATACCTTCTTCGACTTCTCAAAGGTCTTCCCAAAGTGTATTGGGTAGAAGAAAGCACAGCTCGGAAAGGCAGAGGTAAGTTTGTGTCATTTTTCCCCCCTGAATACATATCTTCTGTGTTCTGTAAAGACCAAGTGTACTTAGGATGTTTCTAGCCAGTATCTTTCCTAGTGGTCGTTTGATTGCCTACCCCAGTGTTGTGGGACCTTGACTCACAGCACCAGGATCAGGGAGGGAAGGCAGGGCTGAGCAGGCTAGTTTTCTCCATGGTACTGAGTAAGCAAGAACTTTGAGACCTTCCAGAGCTTCGTCTTATGCCCCACTTGCCAGAATTGGACCACCTGCCTGTCTCCCAACTCTATTACCCTTAGATTGACACGCTCCTTGTGGAATGATATGAATTCTGTTGGCACAGTGGCTAAAGTGGTTGGCTACCAACTGAAATGTTGACATTTTGAACCCACCAGCTGGCCACTCTTGGGGAGCAAGATGCCACAGTCTGGTCCCTTAAAGATTCACAGTCTCTGAAGCCCCCATGGAGCAGTTCTTTGTCTTCTGATTCTGAATCGGCTCACTTCTGAATAGCAACAGGTCTTTAGTTCTCATGGAGTGAAGTCAATTTTCCTGGTGTTTGAAGTGATGAGTACCACTGATGGGACTCAGCCATGATGTTCACTATCAATAGATTTATCATTTTGCAACTGTTGCCAAGTCCCAAATGTTGAACCTTTAGAAATAGCATAAATTCGTGCTTATTTCTTTTCCTTTTTTAAAGAGCTTTATCTAGAGATAATGCACACCTCATATACTTCCCTCACTTACAGTATCTAATACCATGTTTTCATTGTATTCACAAATATATGTAACTAATCCCACAGTCAATTTTAGTACCTTTTCATCACCTCATAAAGATCCTCCCACCCCTTAGGTATTATCTCCAGCTTTAAATGATTCCCAATCTGTTTTCTATCTCGATAGATTTCCCACTTCTGAAGAAAAAAAAGAAATTTTTTAAAAAGGGAGAAATAGATTTCCCACTTCTGGACTGTACAATGACTGGTATCTTATATGTTTTTTATGAATAACTTCTTTCTCTTGGCATAATGATTCAAGATTCACCCATATTTTCCTGTGTTTCAGTGTTTCAATTTTTTTTCAATTATTGAACAATGTCCCATTGCATAATTATGTCCATTTGTGAAGCTGAAGGACATTTAAATTGTTTCACCTTTTGAACTCATAATACTGCTAAATAAATAAAATAGGAGGACCTGAAGCACTTGCTGTTGAAGATCAAGGATTGCAGCCTTCAGTATGGATGACAACTCAATGTAAAGGAGACCAAAATCCTCACAACTGGACCAGTGGTAAAATGATAAAAAGAGAAAAGATTGAAGTTGTCCAGAATTTTGTCTTGCTTGGATCCACAGCCAGTGTTCATGGAAACAGCAGTTGGGAGATCAGATGATGTGTTTCATTGGATAAATCTGCTACACAACACTTCTTTAGAGTGTTGGAAAGCAAGGATATTACTTGGAAGATTAAGGTACACCTGCCTGACCCAAGCTACAGCATTTTCAGGCCCCTCATATGCATGTGAATGCTGGACACTGAATAAGGAAAACCAATGAAAAATTGATGCATTTGAATTTTGGTGGTAGAGAAGAATATTGAAAGTACATGGACGACCAAAAGAACAAACAAATCTATCTTGGAAGAAATACAGTCAGAATGCTCCTTATAGAGGGAAAGGATGGCGAGACTTCATCTCATATACTTTGGACATGCTGTCAAGAGACCAGTCCCTGGAGAAGAGCATCATGCTTGGTCAAGCAGCGAGGCAGCGATAAAGAGGAAGCCCTTCAACAAGATGGATTGACATGGTAGCTCCAACCATGGGCTCAAACTTAACAATTGTGAAGATGTACAAGTTTCTGTGTGAACACAGTCTTTCTCTTGAGTATATGTTGAGGAGTAGAATTGCTGGTCTTTTTAGTAATTCTGTATTTAAATGAGGAACTGTCAAAAACTATTTTCCAAAACAACTGTACATTCCTACCCATCGGTATGAGGGAACTTTGAAAAGCTCATGAAAAAATTCCGATGTCTTTTAATTCCATTTTCCCATTAACTTTTTGATGCCCTCTCATATATGACTTCCAAATTCTACACATAGAGGTTTCTCTACAACACTTGTTACTGGACTTTTAAAATTCTAGCCATCCTAGAAGGTGTTTTGTTTCTCATTGTATGTTAGATTTTGACTTTTGTTTTTTGAGGGAGACAATGGAGAAATGAGTCACAACTGAAATGGCCTTCAGAGGGCCTAGGAATATGGGACATTGAGTATTTAGTGGTAGCAGGGTCATGGGCTTTCTGCCCAATTTCTGCTCAGATTCAGAGATTTGTAGTTTCTCCATTGATACTTTGAGTTTCACGGTACAAGATCAGAAAACAAAATTCAATTGTGTTTCAATATAACAATAAAAGGGAACTAAGAAAACTTTGTAAACAGTATCAAAAAGAATAAAATGCTTGAGAATTAATTTAACCAATAATTTTAACCCATGATGTGCAAGCCTTGTACCTAGAGAGAGAATTGAAAGAAGACCCAAATAAATGGAAAGACGTGTTCATGGGTCAGAAGATGCAGTATTAAGATGGCAGTGCTCTCCAAACTAATCTATAGATTTAATGTAGACCCTAGCACAGTCCCAGCTCGCTTCTTTGTGAAAATCGAAACACTGATTCTAAACTTTACATGGGATTGGAAAGGACACAAAATAGCCAAAACGATCTCATCTAGAAAAGAACGAAGTAGGAAAACTTACATGTCCCAATTTCAAAACTACTACAAACCAACTGTAGTTAAGACTCTGTGGTACTTACTGGTATAGTGACAGATCAGTGGAATAGAATCCAGAAATAAGCCCACACATCTGTGATTGACTTTTCTATGATGAGTAAAAAAAGGGTCTTCTCAAGAAATGCTTCTGATGTTACTGGATTTCCACATGCAGAATAATGACGTTGGATGCTTATCTCACACCATATTATAAATACTAACTCAAAATTCATCAGAGATCTAAATGTAAGCATTAAAACATTTAAACTCCTAGAATTTAAAATAGAGTAAATTTTCATCACCTTGGATTTGGGAAAGAATTCTTAGATATGAAATCAAAAGCACAAGCAACAAAAGAAAGATAAATTGACCAAAGTGTAAAAAAATTTTTTCCTATTCATCTTGGCAAAAATCTACACAAGACACCCATTCACCCATTCAACAGGTTCTGTATCAATTAATGCTTTTTGTCACATAGTTACATTCTTTGTGCCGTTTCCTATTACTTACCCTCTATTGACATAGACTCACTGCCTCCTAACCTCCTCACCCATAGTTTAGAGTTACTGTCATCAATTTTACCTCGTATAAAATAATCCTTTTGAAATCCAAAAGTGAAAAAGATAACCCACCAAATTGGAGAAAATATTTACAAATTGTGTATGTGGTAGGGGCGTGTGTCCAGAATACGTAGAGAACTAACTGTATAGCTCAACAGTGAAAAACAGAAAAAGATCTGAATAGACATTTCTTCAGGGAGCATATACAAGGGGGCTTCAAGGAGTTCATGGAAAATTTCCATGATCTTTTCAATCCATTTCTCCATGAACCTTTTGAAACACCCTTGTACCAATGGCAAATACGCACATGAAAAAAATTTTCATTATCATTAGTCATCAAGGAAGTATACCTTGAAATCACAATGAGATACCACTTGGTTGGATTTATATGTATTTAACTTGTATTTTGAGTTCTCTTTATGGTCAAAGGGAAGTTTCATCTCTTCAGCTTATCATTTTCCCCCTTCCCACTCCTCCTTTGATCCTTTCTGTCCTTCCAAACTATTTCCATGGTTATGTGAGTCAGAATTGACTGGGTGGCATTGAGTGTGGTATGTGCTAGCTGCCAAGCATTGTAGTAAAATAAACACCTGGAATGCCACTGTTCTTGTGTAGTGATTTCCAAAGACTCCAAAATCCACTGGGAAGATCACCAACATTTTAGAATTAACGACTTATAAGACTGCAGTAACCACATAATCTGCCTCTCTCTCTGACGCCTGGGCCCACTTGTGGCTGTAAGAGGGCTGGTGCCTGTGAAGGACACCATAGTCCTTTTTGGCAGTGGAATAGATCTAATTTGTTGGGTGGGCCCCGTCTGGTCCTGTTCTTATAAGCATCTACCTGAACCTGCATTCTTCTTGACCATGGGCTTCTCATCATCTCTGATGGCTTGCCATTGCCTAAAGATGACCTTTTTGGTCCCAGTCGCTAAAATTATGCATATATTCTAGAATTAGAAGGTCCACAAATGCCAATAGAGGGAGTGCTGCTTCTAAACAATGAAACATCTGTGCCCATGCTGTGTTGTTCAATTTGGGAAGAAGTAGAATACTAGAAGGTTATGGTGCTGGGTTTTTTTCCTTCTTAATTTCAAAACAAATATCACTCCATATATGTGGATTGGATTCCTAATAAAATTTAAGTTTTCCCAGGACTTAAACATTGTTAAACCCAACCTCACTGTCATCTGGTTGATTTCAACTCACAGTGACCCTACAAAGGGTTTCAAATCCTGTAACTCCTTACAGCAGTCGGAAACCTCATCTTTCTGCCTCAGGGCAGCTTATGGGTTTCAACCTCCAACCTTGGGTTAGCAGCCCAATGCCTCCCTGACAGTGCTACCAGACTAGCATTCCTTTAGACATTGTTTTCACTCATTACCATTGAGTCAGTGCTGATTCAGAGCTGATCCCCTGTGGGTTTCTGACACTAACTATTTAAGGGAATGGAAAGCCTAGTCTTTCTCCCAAGACGCTGCTAATGGCTTCAAACTGCCCACCACTAGGATCACAGCCTTGTGCTACACCACCAGGGCTCCTTTTAAACATTGTTAGAGGTATATAAATGTTTAATCATTGTACAGTATTTCATATGTGTGTATAATATATTCAAGGGGTACCCCCCCAAAAAAAAACCAGAATTTTTTTTCAAGGCTATATATTTAATTTTTTTTACAAAACAACTTTATCGCTTTCAAAGTACTCTTCATGACACTTAATACATTTGTCAAATCTGCAATTCCATTCCTGGAAACATTTTTCAAATTCATCTATTTGGATGACTGATGGCACCTCCCTCATCTTTTTCTTCACCTCTTCTGCATCTTCAAATTGCTCTCCTTTCATGTCCCTCTGCATTTGTAGAAATGAAAAGAAGTCACATGGAGTGAGGTCAGGTGAGTCGGGTGTCTGGGGCAAGAGAGGCATGCTGTTTTTTTCACCAAAAACTGGCACACTCAGATGGCTGCATGAGCAGGTGCATTGTCATGGTGGCAAAACCAGTCCCCATCTGCCACAAATCAGACCTTTTTTGTCACATACTGTTATGCAACCTTTTCAGAACCTCTAAATAGAAAGCTTGATTAACAACAGTCTGACCTTCTGACCTGATGGAACGAACTCCAAATGCACTGTCCCCCTCACATCAAAAAACAAATGAGCATCATTTTTGGGGGGGAACCCCGTGTGTGTGTGTGTGTGTGTGTGTGTGTGTGTGTGTGTGTGTAAGGCAGCATTAATGTATACTTTGCAGGCAGTGTTGTTGTTTCAGGGGAGGAAATTCTCCCAGGAAACTCCCAGAAATTCTCCCAGCAACCAGCACCTGTCTGTTAGTGGAACCTTGAATGTTGCTAAGATGCTGCAGGGGGTTCCATAGAACTTCCAGACTCAGAGGTAGTAGGAAGAAAAGCCTGGCGATCCTGATCCCATTGTGTCTGAAGTCACCTTGAGGGTGGGAGCAGACTCAATGGCAGCTAACAACCACAGCACCACCTTTGTTTTTAAAATCCAGAGGTGATGTTGTTGTTGTTGCTCAGTGTCATGGAGTCTGTTCCAACCCACAACAGAACAAACCACTGTCCTGCCTTGTGCCACAGTGACAGTTGCTATGGTTGAGCCAATTGTTTCAGCCACTGTTAATCCAGCTCTTTGAGAGCTTCCTCTTTCCCCCGCCCCCTACTTTACCAGTCAGGTTGTCCTTCTCCAGGGACTGGTGTCTCCCCACAACAAAGTCTCTCCATCCTTGCCTCTAAGGAGCACTCTGGCTGTACTTCTTCCAAGACACATCAGTTTGCCCTTTTGGTGCAGTTACTTTCAGTCTTCTCAAGCACCACAATCCAGATGCATCGGTGCTTCCTTCCTCTAGTGTCCAACTTCCACATGCATGTGAGGCAACTGAAATAGCATGGCTTGGGTCAGGCGCATCTTAGTCCTTCAATTAGCCTTGCTTTTAAACACTTTCAAGAGGTCTTGTGTAGCATAGTTACCCAATACAGCGTGCCATTTGAATTCTTCGCAGGAGCAGAAAGCTTCATCTTTGTGCTGCAGAGCAGTCGGTGGTTCTCAGCCCACCCCTACTGGGCCGGGTCAGCACCATCCACCTCATCACCTCTGGGGGCAGGTGGGAAGCAGGCAGTCTGGGTTCTGCCAGACTCACATGTTAGCTTGAGATGGATCAAAAGTGGCATCGTAAAAGCACAAAAGTAGAAATGTGACAGTCTTCTGCCATGTAATTTAAGTGTGTAAATAAAATAGTCTGTATAAAAATAGTATTATGTCCTTGGATTGGTATTTACTATTCTTTTTTTTTTTGTACTCACTATTCAAAATAGATGAAGTCTTTAATAGTTGGGCCTCCACTGGAGATCCCCTTGCAGAGGGGTCTCGGGGAGGAGATGAGCCAGTCAGTGTGCGATGTAACAACAATGAGAAATACAACTTTCCTCTAGTTCCTAAATGTTTCCTCCCCGCTCCCACTACCATGACTAGAATTCGACCTTGCAAGTCTGGCTAGACCAGAGGAGGTACACTGGTACAGATAGGAACTGAAAATACAGGGAATCCAGGGCAGATGAGCCCTACAGGACCAGTGGTGTGAGTGGCGAAACAGGGAGGGTAGAGGGAGAGTGGGTAGGAAGGAGGGAACCGGTTACAAGGGACTATATGTGACCTCCTTCCTGGGGGACGGACAACAGAAAAGTGGGTGAGAGGAGACGTCAGACAGGGCAAGATATGACAAAATACCAATTTATAAACTATCAAGGGCTCATGAGGGAGGGGGGAGCGGGGAGGGAGGGGAAAAGGAGGACCTAATGCCAGGGGTTTAAGTGGAGAGAAAATGTTTTGAGAATGATGAGGGCAATGAATGTAAAAATGCGCTTTACACAATTGATGTGTGTATGGATTGTGATAAGAGTTGTGTGAGCCCCTAATAAAATGTTCAAAAAAACATAGTTGGGCCTCCAGGTGACGGTTTGAAGAGGCATCGCATTTCCATGCTCCGTCACCTTTCACCTTCCAAGTGTGGTGTTCCCTTCTCAACTTTGAAAACCGTGTTCCAAGAACCACCATCCTAGAAGGCTTTTTAGGGGAGGTCTTAAAAACTTCAGGGGATAGAGCTAATCTTTGGAATTTCTCATAGGATTTCCCCCATCTGCTATAATACAAAGCAGAAAAAAATAAGCAACATTTTATTCAACTCAAAGGTATTGTCATCAGTATTCAACAGCTGCCTTCTACCATGTCTTACTCTCTGATAAGACTGTGGCTTCTGGCTTTCATTCTGGTTGAGTATCCATGGCATCTGCTCTGTTGATAGCTCTACAATCTCTACACACTGTAAATTGCCTCAGGAAACACATACGTTTGTTGGAGCTTCTCAGATATGCGGGATATTTCTCAGCCAGCGTGTTGTGCCCACATCTCAAGGAGGGCAGCTGCGATAGCTATTTGCTCAAGAAGGGAAATTCCTAATTGAATTGAGTTGTGGCCAGCAGGCCTGGCCCACCATCTCATCTCTAAAGATGTGGTCTGTGTTTTTGTCTCCCAGGTTCCCTCCCAGTGGCAGAGAACTTCAGCTTCTGCCTGGTGACTTTGCTGTCTGATGTGGCCTACAGGGACCCCACCCTGAGAGATGAGGTGAGAGGTGCTGGCTAGGCCTGGTTATCGTTAGCTCAAAGTGAGGGAAAAGTTAAAATATATATGTTTATATATATTGGATGGGGTGGTACTGTTTGTTTATGTCAATTTTCTACTGTTATTAACAGTTCTAAGAAATATATATTGGGCTGCTAACCCAAAGGTCAGTGGTTCAAACCTACCAGTGGCTCCTAAGGAGAAAGATGAATCTGTGCTTCTGTAAAGAAACCTCTAAACCTTATTGACCGTCTCAGAGACCTTAGGGAGCTATCCGTCTGTGCCCTGCAGGGTTGCTGTGAGTCAGAACTGACTGTACAGCAGTGAGTGAATGAAGACATGAGCATAACATGGACTGAGTTGAGAGGATTCATAGAACTTGGGCAAGTGTAGGACTGCACCCCAGAGGGCGCCATTGAAGCAAACCCTGGCCTCTGCCATGCAAGAAGATCCCATTGGTAGGCTAAAGCTGGGGGTCATAGGCCTGTCCAAGGAGCCAGAGCTAGTATGGGAGCTCCTGTTGGGATAAATAACAAGTAAAATGACCAATTTGGGCAGCATATATGAAAACAAACAAACAAAAACTTTAAGCATTTTTCTTTGTAAAATAAACGCATTGAGTCATCAGCAGTCTTAAGGGGTCTGCTGAAAAGCTAATGTCCCACAAAATGAGTCTGGAATCCACAAGGAATGTACAACTCCTTAGGTGCATCCGAGCTTTCATGTATCTGAGTCTGAGCTCCGTCCGTATTCGGAGAGGGACGCAGACAGGTTGGGCTACTGTGAAATCAGAGGCAGGCGATTGGCACGGCAAAGAACTTGCCACCCTGAGGAATGGTGGAAGGGACTAGGGATAGCTGGGAAAGAGAAGACTTGGGGGCCTACCACCTGGCTCCAGACTACGGAGGAAGATGGAGACTTGTGCCTGTGGCTCCAGGAGTCCATGGATGTGAGCCCCAGTGTTGGAAGGAACTTGGTACCAGTCCAGAGGTAGATGGGGCCGCATTGGTGGAGGTGGCTTTCTGGCCCTGGAAGGTCAGCTGGTTGGCATCTTTAAGAGCTGTAGTGGGAAGGGCTCAGGCATCAGCTCTAGACACTGGAGAAGACACTGTCTAAAAGCTGCTGCTTCTCCTGGGTGACTTCAGTGATACTTGTCTCATTTTGTTTATAAACCTGTTTGTTTACTTTTTTCTCCCCCGATTGCTTGGCTGTCACAGATTTTAGAGGCACTTTTGCAGGTTCTAAGCATCCTTTTGGGAATGTGCCAGACCTTGGAGATTCAAGAAAAAGGTAGGATTTTAGATTTCCGAGGCCTATTTTTCTCCCCAACCATGTAGTCAACTTTCTCCTGTTTCTCCTCGGACGTCTTCTTTGCCCTTGCGGATCTGACGTCATTGGATGGGCACCAGCATTTTATATTTGTTCCCTTAGTTGCATGTTAGTGTGCTGTGGGGCCCCTTGGAGGTGCCGGGAGCAGGATAGTCGATACAAATGCTGGGGGTCCTTGGGAAAGTAACTTCACCTCTCTGGGCCTCAGTTTGTCTGGGTAGAGTCTGTGAGCATCAAAGGTAATCCTTCCTGTTTAAGACCCTCCCCGCCCCCACCCCCAATAGGACCCTAGGAGGTAAAAATAATACTGTTTAGGTACCAGGTACAGACTAACATGACCTATGTTCTTTGTGGGCATGTGCCCTGAATCAGGTCAAGAGCTCCCTGAGAGAGCAGCTGTGTGTGATGGAGACAAGATCGGTCTCATTACTGCTGTGGATGGCAGATTGAAAGTATCATCTGTCAGTCCTTGGGATGGACTCCATCCCCATGACTTTAGTTGGTTTCAGCCGTAGGTGGTTCCAGCTCAGTGCTGTATGGCCTGTCCACAGAGGGCTTCCTCTCACTCTAGCTCTCCCACTTGGTCTTCCAGAGTATCTCTGCAAATCCGCCGTCCCCTGCCTGTTAGGAATCTCCCGTGCTTTTGGGCGTCACAGCAGCACAGAGGAGTCTCTGCTCTCGAAGCTCTTCCCCAAAATCCCGCCACATTCCCTCCGGGTCCCAGAGGAGCTCGAAGGTGCCCGGAGGCGGTCCTTCAATGATTTCCGCTCCATCCTCCCCAGCAGTCTGCTAATGGCCTGTCAGGAGGGCACCCTGAAGAGGAAGACCAGCAGTGTGTCCAGCATCTCCCAGGTGGGCCAGGACCCCCAGAGGGAGGGGGCAGGGGAGAAATCCCATTCCGTGTGCTCTGTTTCATAGAGTCCCATCGCCAGTAAGAGTCTCATGGGAGGAATTTAGTGATAGGCATGGAGTCGAGAGCAGCCAGTGGTGGTTCTGTGGTAGAATCATCACCACCCATGCCGAGAGCCCCAGGCTCCACTTCAGGGGCAGTCACCACCCTCAGGGGCAGCCAGGACCACTGCAGCCCTGTGTGTTTCTAGGAGCCAATAGGGTCCCTTGGAGCTTCCTGACAGACAGATTAGGAAGATAGGCCTGGTGGCCTATTCTAGAAAATTATCCAGTGCCATAGGGTTGCTGGGAACTGGGGACCAACATGACAGTCATGAACAGGAGCAACATAGAGAGCTGTAGCCTGCTGGGCTTCAGGGAGGAGGTGGGCTTGAACAGGGACTGGCAGAGAGTGCCCTGTCTTTCGCCATGGGACAGGGGCTTGCGTGGTCTGTGCTGCTAGTGACTGTGGTGATCTGTTTCAGGTCAGCCCAGAACGAGGGATGCCCCCTCCCAGCTCGCCTGGAGGATCAGCCTTCCATTACTTTGACGGTGAGCTTCCATTTCTGCTGGGATTGTGGACCCAGTGCTTGGATTTCAGGCCCATAGTGATGTCCTCTTGCGACATTAAAGATGCTGATTTTAATTCACTGCTCCATACATGTGGAGGGTCACCCTTTTAGGCAACAATTTCCATTTAAATGTCAGAAAATTTCATTTCCTCTAGAGAGAAAAGAGTAAAAAATGAGCGTGTAACCAAAAAAGCAAACTCACTACCACCGAAATGATCCCGACTTACAGAGACCCACGTGTTGTTTGGAGCTCACACATTTACATTTTCCAACAGCATTTAACCTGAAAAGACAGATGAGGTTTTACTGCTTTTCTATGGTCATCTCTCACAGCTCTGTAAATCTTCACCCAAGTCACAGTAAAAAAAAATTTTTACGGGGAAAAAAAAGGTTTTCAAACAACTCCACAATTTTAGATCCATATTTACCATACACTAGGAGCTCTGGTGGCATAGTGATTACCCACTGGGCTACAAACTGAAAGGTCAGCAGTTTGAAACCACCAGCCATGTCTTGGGAGAAAGACAGGACTTTTTACTCCCTAAGAAGTTACCATCTCAGAAAACACAGAGGCAGTTCTAACCTGTCCCATAGGATCAGTGCGAGTCATCGTCGACTCCATGACGGTGAGTGTGTTTTTGTTTTTTACCTGCCAACATTATTGTTCTGCTCTTGAAACTTACAGTAATGTGTGCTTGGGGTCTGACTGTAGCAATAAAATATCTCGGGTCCTGTGGCTCTCAAGCTTCTCAGTGTGTCTGCATGCAAAGCGGTGCTATTCTCCCTCTCCCAGGGGAGAGTTTTGTGAGTCGTTATCCCGGCTGAGTCTCTGCACTGGGAAGAGGTGTTGCTTCCTCCAGCTTTTTCTACTGCTACTTTTTAAAAATGTTGCATTGATGTAAGTTTTTCTGTGTGTACATAAGAAAACACTTTTAACTTTTTATTGTGATTTGGGTAAAGGTTTTACGAATAGATCATGAGTTTTGCATTCATGCACATTTTGTTATAACTCGTCTATTGCCATCAATGGATGTACCATCACATCCCACTTGCTCCTTGTGCTTCCTGTTTATACTCCTCCTCCTCCCTCGTCCCGCTGAACTCTGTCCTTAGGTAAATGCTGCCTGTTTGATCCTGCATGATTCATTATTCTAACAGAGGAATGAGGTCAATTTCAAACCTGAAGGGTCAGGGCCAAAGTCTTAAGGGTTCCACCAGTCTCTGTCTCACCAGTAAGCCTAGTCAGTGCTGTGGTTTTCCACACTTTTCTCCCACTCTAACCAGGACCTTCTAATGCTATCTTTTTAGAGCAGTTGGTAATGGTGGCTGGGCACCATCTAGTCCTTCAGGTCCCATTATAGAAGCTAATGTTTGTATGGCCCTTTAGGAGCTCTAGTGTAGTGTTACAAGGTGGGCTGCTAAATGCAAAGTTAGCAGTTCAAAACCACCAGCCACTCTGTGGGAGAAAGCTGAGCCTTTCCATTCTTATGAAGAGTTATAGGCTTGGAAACTCCCTGTTCTCTAGGGTTGCTGAATCGGAATCAACTAGATGGCAGTGGGTTTGGTTCTGAGGGGCTGATTGTTTACATGTGTCTTTCCTCTGGGCAGGGGACATAACAGTTGCACCTTAGGTGGCTGTTCAGGCACTTCTAAAGCCCTGATGGCCATTACATTATGCCAGGTGACCACAGTGTCACCTGAGAGGAGGGTACCCTGTATGTCCTGACTTGGGGAATGTAAAAAGGAGCCCAGGCTGCCCCCTGGCTGCTTGCTGAGGGAATTGCCTACAGGGAGTGCTGTGACTTACTCGAGTTATCTTTCCTCAGCCTCCTGCTTGCCTGATGGGAGTGCCCTGGACCCCGATTACTACTTCTCCACCATCAGCTCCAGCTTCTCCGTCTCACCCCTTTTCAACGGCGCCCCCTATCGGGAGTTCAACATTCCCCTCGAAATGCTTCAGGAACTGCTAAACTTGGTAAGCAGTGCATGGCGGCTGGGTAGATGGCCTGTGTACCCAATCACGGATGTCTCTGGTGTCAAAAGCCTGTGTTTCCTAAGAGAGTAATGGGGAGGATCACCATTTTGGAGTGCAGCCTACTGGTCCCACGTTTCCGGGACAACACAGGAGGGTGTGGTTCAGCCTCTTTGGACTGTTGCCTCCGCCACACATCAAGGACAGAGGCAAAAGAGCCAACCCTCTGCTAGGGAAAGAACAAGGCTCGGGGTGAGTGGGGAGGCCTTGATGCTCAACTCGCACACCCACTACAGAGAGAGGCCGCTCCTCCAGTGTGACCTGTGCATGGGCGTCGGCACCCAAGAGGGTGGCGGCAGGCAAGAAGACATTAGTGAGTGAGAACAGAGCTGAAGGAAGTGTGAGGTCACCCTAACCTGGGTGTCAGGGGCCCACCCCTTCCTGAGGACATTAAAGTCAAGGAAGAAAGATCTCCCTGCATGCATCTCAGCCTTGGGATCCTGCAGAAGGGCGCCTTCTCAAGGGTGGCCTTTCCTTGTGTGACATCAAGGAATCCAGTGGGAGACCGGATATTGCCACATGTCCGTTGGGGGAATTGTTTTTTTAAAATATTTTCCTCTCGATATATATTAACTTATCAAGCTTAGGTCCTCTTCTGGGCGAGTCTCCATTTCTTCTCTGTTGTTTATTTTAGGCAAGTTTTTATTCCTTTTTTCTACACGTTACTTGTTTGTACATCAAATGACTGGTTTATTACTGGTTGCCATGCAATCACATGTTTCAGAGTAGAGCTGGGCTGCACAAGTTTTCACAGGCTGATTTTTGGGTGTACACCGCCTGGCCTTTCTTATGAGGTGCTCTGGGTAGACTGGAACCATTATTTTTGGTTGGCAGCTGATCATTTAATCGTTTGCACCATCCAAAACCAAAAACTCACTGCTGTGGAGTTGATGCCCCTTCATATAGACCCTGTAAAACAGGGTAGAACTGCCTCTGTGGGTTTCCTGAGACTATAACTCTTTTTTAAAATAATTTTATTGGGGGCTTGTACAACTCTTATCACAATCCATACATTCATCCATTGTGTCACGCACATTTGTACATTTGTTGCCATCACCATTCTCAAAACATTTGCTTTCTACTTGAACCCTTGATATCAGCTGAGACTGTAACTCTTAATGGGAATAGAAAGCCCATATTTCTCACAAGGAGTAGTTGGTGGTTTTGAACTGCTGACCTTGTGGATCACAACACAATAAGTAACCACTACGCCACCAGGGTTCCTGACTTGCATTACCCAGGAACATCTATACTTTGAACGTGTTCTCAGGAGAGATGCTATAAAAAAGAAGGAAGACCCTGGATGAGATGGATTGACACGGTGCTTGCAACAATGGACTTGCGCACGGGAGCAATTAGGAGGATGTGCAGGACCGGCAGGGTTGTGTTGTGCTGTGAGTCAGAACTCCCTGAACGGTACCTCACAACAAATACTTTGAAAACGGCCTGCTTTGAGTACTGCAGCCAGGGAGGGGCTTGGAGCAGTTCTTCCCTTTACAGAACAATACGTCCCTTTACTAAATTAAGAGAAGGGGTATAAACAGTTAATTCTAAACAGGAACCCAAACCTGTTGTCATTTCTGATTCACAGCAACCCTATAGGACAAAGCAGAACTCTTCCTTAGGGTTTACAAGCCAGTAAATCTGTACCAGAGCAGACAGCCTCATTTTTCCCCAGGAACCGCTAATGGGCTTGAACTTTGGAGTTAGCGGTTCATCCTTTCACTAAAGCAGCTCCAGCAAAGGGGTGGAAGCAATGCTAGTAGCCGTTGAGAAGATGTACTCTAGTGAAGGCGCCTGGGCAGCATGTAAAGAGCCGGTCGTGCAGGGCCTGAGGAGCAGGAGGTGCTGTGAGCCCCTGAGGGCTGGCCAGGAAGGGGGCCTGGGAGCGACTGAAAGGGTGGCTCAAGGCTGTACTTTATCCATGACCGGACCATGTGACAGCGAAGTCTAGTATCAGCAAGTTCAAAGGAGCTGGGTCCTTCTCTTGAATTTGATGTCATTGTGAGCTAGATTAAGAAAACCTCAAAGCAATGGCTGAATTGTGTGTGTTTTGTGCCATGGGTGTGATCACAGCTGCTCACTGAGTGGTTGATGGTGTGAAGGGTCTTGGGTGTGAACACAGTCAGCCACTCACTGAGAAGGCGATGGTATGAAGGTCTCCGGGTGTGATCACAGCTGCTCACTGAGAGGTTGGCATGTGAGGTGCCTGGTAAGAAAGGCTTGGGCCATCGCCCCTAAGGCCCTAATGCAGCAGTCCTCCTGTGCTGCTTAGGACCACCATGAGTGGGAACAGGTAACAGGACAGCGAGAGCAGATACCAATGTGGTAGACATGTGGCTCTCCTCTAGCTATGATTGACCCGTCGTACCCATCCCATTTGGTCCCGTGAGTGTGTTCTGTGGTTCTGGGTCTCGGTGTGGGTCGGCGTGTCATGCGGTCACATGTCCCCGGCAGGTGAAGAAGATCGTCGAGGAGCCTGTTCTCAAGTCTCTGGATGCAGTGGTAGCCAGCGTCACAGAGGTAGGGGTCCCGTTCAGAGTCCTGTGTGCAGAGAGCAGGCAGGGCTGGGCCGGGGCCACGCACACCCCATTTGAAACGGTGGCTGTCATAACATCCGAATCTGACTTCAGGGGTGGGAGTGCAATTAAGGAGAGTCTGGATGAGCCCAATGCTTAACTCTCTGCTCTCCACCCTCCTACAGTCCTGCCCCCAGCCACCCCAAGCACGGCTCTCCACTTCTCCTCTGGGTTTGGTTGTCTGTGGCGAGAGCCACGCAGAGCTCACAGATCATACTTAGAGTTCCAGACCACACCTGGGCCTTGGGGTCAGGAACCAGGCAGGCAATGTCTGGAAGTGCCCCCCAGGTGGGGAGAGCCTGGTGTTCCCTCTGCACCACAGGACACTCTGTGTCTCTCAGCTAGACGGGCCCTCAGGACAGCGTTCACTGCTCCTCAGGTGGGCTTCGCCCTGTTTCTTCACCTGCACACACATGGCCCCCTTCTGACAGGGCCGGCAACTGAGGACTGTGACATGCAGGGAAGCTGCTAGCAGCTCCTGTCAGTGGTTCTCCACAAACCTGCTCCCTGCTTTCCACTTTCCTACCCATGAGCCCTGTCTGGGACTCCTTAGCACACTTACCATCCCCCCCACCCCCACCCCCATCTGTCTGTGTGGGCAGAAGCTTTTCCACGGGTTGGTGCCGCCCTGTGTCAAGAAATGTAATAAAGCACAGCTTCCCATTAGGCTGAGCAGGGAAGGTCCTGAAGTGAAGGTCATGGCTCCTCACTCCACCTCCAGTGCACTGCCCCCCAGAATAAAAAGAGTGCTGCGCTTTAGACTAGAGGCCAAAGCCCGGTACCACACCTCCGCCACTGGGTCACTCCCACTCATAGCAACCCTGTCAGACAGGGGAGAGCTGCTTCCTAGGGTGATGAGGCAGTTCTCAACCTGGGAGTCGAGACCCCTTTGGGGTTGAACGATCCTTTCACAGGGCTTGCCCAATTCATAACAGTAGCAAAATGACAATGTTGAAGTTGCAACGAAAATAATGTTATGGTTGGGGGTCACCACCACGTGAGGAACTGTATGAAAGGGTCGGGTTATTAGGAAGGTTGAGGACCACTGCCCGAGAGCCTGACAGCCTTGGAATCCCTCAGCTGTAAGTCTCTATGGGAGCAAGTTGTCTCATCTTTCCTCCTCAGAGCAGCTGGTGGGCTCAAACCACTGACCTTGTTAGTCGCTCAACACGTAACCCACTACACCAGGGTCTTTACAAAGGTGTGTGTTAGTTTCTGGAGTGTCTGCTGCATGTGAAGGGGCCTGTGGTGTCAGTGACAGGGCATAGGCACAACACTGCAGGTCTCCTACCTAGGCTCCTGTCACTTCCCACAGCCCTCTCAGGTCATAGATGGGGAGGGAGGTGCCTCTTCCCCCGGCGTGATGCCAGGGAGGTACACTGGGTGATTAGTGCTCGGGTGAGACATCTGTGATAAATGCCCCCCTTGTGATACAAACATAGCCTCTATTGTCACAGCTCCTCCAAATTCGAGTGATGGGGGGGGACATGTGCAGAGGAGCATGAGGGGAGGTTGTGAGGGACTTTGCCCTGTGATCAGAGCATCTGGTTCCTGCAGGCCAATCCTGGGGCAGATCTCTACTACTCCACCTTCAGCGACCCTCTGTATGTGGCTGTGTTCAAGATGCTGCGGGACACGCTCTACTACATGAAGGGTGAGGAGCGGGGCAGGAGGGAAGGCACGGTTGGGGGGGGGGGAAATCCCCCACTGCAGACTGTGGCTTCTCTTGAAAAAGCAGTCTGCTGTCCTCAATTTCTGAGTCCCAGTGACTTAATAGGACATAAGAGAATTACCACATAGGGTTTCAAGGCTGTCAGCCTTTGTGGAAGCAAACTGCCTCATCTTTCTCCCACCGAACGGCTAGTGGGATTGAATCGCTTACCTTTGGGTTCTTAGCAGCCAGTCACTTAACCTACTGCACCATCAGGGCTCCACAGCTGCCTGATTCTATGGTCATCAAGTTGACTCAACTCATGGAGACTATACTCATGGAGTATAGCTGCTCCGGGGGTTTCAGAAACTGTCAATCTTAAAGAAGCAGACAGCTTCATCTGTTTCCCCAAGGAGAGACTGGTAGAATCAAACTGTTGACCTTTTGGTTAGCAACCCAACTCTGCCACCCAAGGCTTCTTGGAAGAAAGGGGAGACATTCACAATGCTGACATTTAGCAGGAGGAGTATATTCAAGAAAGAATCTTTTAATCTTGCAACCCCGATATCACCAGTGATGGTTTTTCCGGAGGTTTCCCAAAGGTATGGAGCCCTGGTGGCATACTGGTCACGCATTGGGCTGCTAACTACAGGTCAGCAGTTTGAAAACACTCGCCACTCCGTGGGAGAAAAAGGAGGCTTTCTGCTCCTGAAAAGAGTTACAGTCTCGGAAACCCACAGAGGCAGTTCTACCCTGCCCTTTAGGGTCGCCATGGTCACCCTTGACTCAATGACAGTTTTTGTTTTGTTTTTGAGTTTTCCTTAAAGTGTCCTCTTAACCCATCCAGGTCATGTCGTTCTAACCACACATTGAGTTTTCCACTTCTTCCTGAAATGTTAGGCATCTTAAAGAGAAATACAGCTTAACTCAAGTGAGATATGTCCTAATGGCTCAGTGCCCTACCCCTCAGCCTTCTGCCTGTCCTTCCAGTCTCTTGTTGGTGTGTTTTTTGCTGACCTTTCTCACACGTTTTGATGGTCCCAGAACATGTCGCATAGAGGCACCATGGTTCCCTTGAGTGTTTGAGCCTGGTTCAGAGAGCCCCCAGAAAGCCAGTCTGGCTGGTGTGGCAGAGGGTTTGGGCTCAGCAGGGGGACGCATCCAGGGCACCTGATTTTCCTTTCTGTTTTTGACGTGAGTCCTTCCTGTGTTTCTCCTGAATCCTCCAGGCCCCCGGGAAGGCCGTTTGAAAAGACCAACAGCACTGGGTGGCTAGGGAATCCTCTTGACCACTGCGGCCAGTGTGTGCCCCACTATGCTGACCCATAGACTTTTTGCTTAGCATCATGGGAAGTGTGTCCCAGGTCTGGCTCACAGTCTAGCAATGGCTCATCCCGGTGTGTGCTTGAAGCAAAGTGTGGCGCTCACATCTTTGGAGACACCCCCCCCCGCTCTGCCTGCTGTGGGGACTCGTGTGGAGACCCATGGGCACTGCCCCTCCATGCATGTCCTCAAGAACATTTTCAGGGTTGCTGCAGCGAGCGGCATGCCCCCTCCACCCCCCCTCAGGCTAGAACCGCCACCATCCAAGTTCAGTGTCCTGCCAGTCTCTGACTCAGACCCCTGCTCTCTCCTTCCCACAGACCTCCCAACCTCCTTTGTGAAGGAGATCCACGACTTTGTGCTGGAGCAGTTCAACACGAGCCAGGCGGAGCTCCAGAAGATTCTGCACGATGCCGACCGTGTCCACAACGAGCTAAGCCCCCTCAAGCTGCGCTGCCAGGCCAACGCCGCCTGTGTGGACCTCATGGGCTGGGCTGTGAAAGACGAGCAGGGTGAGCCCAACAGCCCCGCAGAGCGACACCCAGCCTCGAGGCCCAAAGTCACTCCCGCCACAGGTCCCAGAGGGCCATGGAGACTGCCCACCTCTGACGCCTTGACTGAGCAGCCTGGAGGGATGAGTCTAGTGCCCTGTCCCGAGGCTGAGGAAGCGGGGCCTGGCAGGCAGGTGTCATGCTCAAAGCCATGGAGCCTATGGGTCCCGCCCGTGGCTGCTCCTCCTTTTCTGAGGAGCAGCCAGAGCTCAGGCTGGAGGCTTAGTGTATGGAGGGTGAGTGAGCATCCAGTCAGCTGCTGGCTCCTGGCCACCCCAGTGTGTCCGTGTCAGGGCAGAGCGGGGCTCCATGGGGCTTCAGTCAGTGGCTGATTTTGTTGCCAGTAGGTCACCAGGCCTTTCTTCCAAGCTGCCCCTGGGTGGACTCCAACCTTCCATCGAGCAGCTGAGCAGTCTCACCACCTGTGCACCCAGGGGCCCCTCAGGGAAGGTGGCAGGACACAGTGCCAGCAGAGGCTCACAAGGTGCTATCTGAGGCTCGCGGGGCACTGGGGTGGGGGTGGGGGACCTGCAGGCTGGTGGCGGTAGAGAGCATTTGTTACTTGAGCTTCAGACGCTGGCCTCCACTTGCTTTCCGGTGTCCCCTGCCTGTATTGGTGAACCCTGCTTAAAGCATGTCTCTTAAGATTTAATTAGAGGAGCCCTGGAGTAGAAAGCCCCATCCGAAAGGCCAGCAGTTTGAAACCACCTCCAGAGAAAGACAAGGCTTTCCTCTCCTGTAAAGAGTTAGTCATGGAAACCCTGTCCTATAGGCTGCGGTGCATCAAAATGGACTCGGTGGCAGTGAGTTTATGTGTTTGAAAGTTAAATGGTGTGACTCATTGATGAGTAAGAATGCTGTGAGGAGCCCTGGTGGCGGTGGCACAGTGGGTTTGGCGTCGGGCTGCTCCCCAGCAGGCCTGTGGTTTGAACCCCTGTGGTTAGCAGCTCAGCTCGAGAAAGATGAGGTGAAGCTATCTGCTCCCGTAAATGTGAACTGTTTTGGGAAACCCTGTGGGGCAATTCTGCGCCACCCTGTAGGTTTGCTGGTCCTGGGTGGTCTGATTGGGTAACATGCTTGGCTAAAGCCACCCGCAGGCACTTTGCAAGAAAGGCCTGGCGATCTGCTTCTGAAAAATCAGCCAGTGAAACCCCTATGGAGCCTAGCTCTCCCCCAACGATCCTCCCCACCCCTCTTTCACATGAAGGTGCAGAAAACCTGTGTATCAAGCTGTCAGAGAAACTGCAGTCCAAGACATCCAGCAAGATCATCATTGCCCACCTGCCCTTGCTCATCTGCTGTCTGCAGGTCAGTCTCGCCCTTAGCAGGGCCACTGGCCACCCACTCATCAGGGGAGCTTGCTTGGGCGGGAGCTGGGTTGCCCCTGAGCTCAGGCCAGGCCTCCAGGAGAGTGGGGGCCATGTGTTGGGGTGTCCCCTGCTGTTGGTGAGCCCACACTGCCATGCCAAGATACCTCTGACTCCAGAAACCGCTGCTTGCAACCCTGTTTGGTGTTCTTTTCCTTCACGTGCTTCCAGGAGAAATAAGGGCGTGTTCCCGATAGACAGCCCTCTTAGGTGGAGGAGAGGGGCCCTGGAGGTGCAGCGGGCTGAGTGTCTTAACGAAAGCTCAGCAGCTGCCCCTGGGGAGAAAGCAGAGTCAGTGTCCTCTCATCAAGATTGGCAGTCTGGGAAACCCTGGGTTGCTGTGAGTCAGGACAGACTCGACAGCACTGAGCTGGTTTGTTGTTTGTCTTTTTGCCTCACGGGAAAGTAGCCTCCTGGCACTTGGACTTGGGAGTGTTTGATGGAGCAAGGGCACCTGGGAGGAGTCAGGCTGCTGGGGCCATGACGCCTGGCCCCTGTGTTGCAGGGCCTGGGCCGTCTATGCGAGAGATTCCCCGTGGTGGTCCACTCCGTGACGCCCTCCCTGAGAGACTTCCTGGTCATCCCGTCCCCCGTGCTGGTGAAGCTCTACAAGTACCACAGTCAGTACCACACAGGTAACCAGTCCCACTTGGCTAGGCTCCTCCCCTCTCTGTCTACCCCCAGGTCATGCCCCAGGTGCCTCCCTGGGCCTTTACTCCTGACAACAACCCCACACACACCCGGGCCTCTTGCGGCCCCAGTCTCCCTCAGGTACCTCATCTGACTGTGGGTGTTATATTTGCCGGACACTGGGCTGCACCCTCTCCTCTGGCCCCACTGCCCACGAGAGCGCGCATGGCAGTGTTTCTTATGACCTGAGGCAGGCCCACCGTGATGGGACACCCTTAGGCCTCTAACTCAAGTTGCTGGTCTTAACCATGTCTGAGGAAGTGGGCCTCCCCGGCCCTTCAAATGAAGAACCCCAGACTCCAGTTACTTGAGGGGTCTGCCACGAGGGTCTCCCTGACTGTGAGACCCCTGCCTTCGTGCCTGCCTCACCCTGGCCCGCTGCAGACATCGTTAGTTGGTTGGATGTGGCTCTGAGGACAGGCCCTTGACTGAGAGTGATTACTGTCACAGTCAAGTGTCAGGCTGGGTGCACGGGTCCCTGTTTGTCACTGTCACCTGCACCTCCTCCTTTGTGTTTACACGTACTCGATCTCCCCCTTCTGCCATTCTCAGGCCAGCTCTGTCCCTAACGTGCTGTCAGATGTCTTTAAAGCGATTGCTTTCATTCACAGAAAGGGAGCCATGTGCCCTTGGTGGTTTGTTTAATGATGTGTGATTTTAGCTTTTTATTGTGAATTGGATGAAGGCTTACTGAGTAGACTGGAACGTGCTGTCAGATGTCTTTAAAGCGATTGCTTTCATTCACAGAAAGGGAGCCATGTGCCCTTGGTGGTTTGTTTAATGATGTGTGATTTTAGCTTTTTATTGTGAATTGAATGAAGGCTTACTGAGTAGACTGGTTGTCCATCTTGTCTCCCGTCACTGACAGCTGATCCTACCTTATCACATCCTTCAGCCCACTTCCTGGGCTTTCCGTCTCCAGGCCTCCCTGCTTAACCCTCCCGAGCTTCTCAACTTCATCCGTGGGCTAATGCTGCCCTGGAGGTCTCAGGGGGTTGATTGTTCTCAGGTGTGCGTACCTCCCTGCGGGGAGGTGGCCC